CCCCCCGATCAAGACCCCGTCCCCGTGGGAGCGTGGTGCTCGGGCGGCCGGCGCCTCGGCGCTTTCCTTTTGCCTGGCCCGCACGCAGCGCCAGCTGAAGCACTTTTCGAACTTCCTCTTTGCCCCACATCGGGGCGCCTTCATGTGGGGGCAGGTTTTACCGGCGGAGTCGCTGCTGCCGGCGCTGCTGCCGGCCACCGTCCGGCTGCCTGCTGCCCCAGGCCGCCACGATCCCCGCACCACGGCCGAAGAGGACGACGAGGAGGAGGCCCCTGGCCAGCCGCTTGCCGGCATGGCTGATGGCCGCCCGGCGGACATGGAGGACGACTGGTCCTGGCCCTCGCCGCGGCCGCCGGCCGGGCCTCTCGCCGCCCCGGCCCCCGCCGAGGAACTCCCCGCCGAGCAGGCCCCAGCCGGCAATGATTGGCCGCTCGTCGGTACGCTCGAGCCTCGGCCATGCTGCATTTGGCTGCTGCACGCGTGGGGGGCCATATGGCCCGTCGGGCGCTCGCCGGCCCGCTGCCTCCTCGCCCCCGATTTGCCCATGATTACCATACTGACTGTCGGGCATGCTGGCAGCCGACGCCCTGGACCTGGACGAGGGCGAGCCCGATGGATTGCTGGTGCTTACCACTGTGGCGGCCTTCGACGCTGTGGACCGGCAGCCGGCCATGGCCGGGGTTGTCCGAGCGGTGGTCACCGCTTGCCGGCTGACCCCGGGGCCGGAGGCCGCCGATGCCCCGCCGCCTGCCTGGCTGTGCCAGCTGCTGGCGGCCTTTGCCGCGCCCGGCGAGTCCCCGAGCGCCAAGCTCTTCCTTGCCAAGGTACGCCCGGCGGTGTGACGCCCGGACGCGTCGATCTTTTCGGGGCCTTCGATCTGGTGCTGACTTGCTGCGGGGCAGGTCCTGTGCCATGCGGGCTCCTTCCTGTCGCCCTATGCGTCGTACATCTGGCCGGTGATCGTGCGCTTTGTGCTGGAGGCCTTCCCGGCAGGCGGGTGCTCCGCGGCCGGGCCCGAGGGCCCCCCACCGCCCCGGCTGAATTCCGCCACCTATGACCTGGCCTTGCAGGTGCTTGCCTGGTCGCTGCAGGATGACTACCCCGGCCAGCCGGAGCCGCCGGATGCCGGGCTGCTCAAGTCCCGCTTTGTCACCTGGCTGCTCCATGCCTGCGATGAGGTGGTCCCCGGGTCGGCGGCGCGGCACGAGCTCCGCGGCCGTGCTCAGCTCATCCAAGGTGCGTCGGGGGGCCTTGCTCTCGCTTTTTCCCTGCCCTGCCGCCCCCGCCGCCCGATGTGCCCATGCTGACGGTGGACGGTCAATTGGCCAGAGTTCGTCCGGCTCTGGTGTCCGAAGGTGGCGCAGCCCGGCCTCGCCACGGCCGAGCGCCTTCCCCTGCGCTCGGTCCATCCGCACTTTTTGCTCGGGCTCCTGCGGCCCCCGAGCCTGGACCCCCCCAGGGCGGATGACGACCCGTCGGCAGTCGTGCCACGCGTTTCGGCCGATTTCGACCCGCTCTCCGGCCCGGCGGGAAGCTCCTTCGTGCATAACCGGCTCCTGACTGGGGCCGATCTCTTCCTGATGCTGATCGACCACCGAGTCACCTTCGATTTGGGTATGTCACCCGGCTGCCGGGTGTGGCTTGCCTGCGCTGCACGACATTGTCCCCCCCTCCACCCCCGCATGCTTACCACCCGTCTGCCCGCCACCCTGTGCGCACGCACGCACGCACGCACGCACGCACGCACGCACGCACGCACGCACGTACGCACGCACGCACGCACGCACGCACGCACGCACGCACGCACGCACACTGCACACTGCACACTGCACACTGCACACGCACACGCGCGGCCAAACAAAGATCACACCGGTGCAGATGGCGAGCCCTCCTACAGTGCCGACCACCTGTTTGCCTTGCTGTGTGCACCACTCGCATCGAACGCCGTGCAGCTGGTGGATCCCAGCCGCGGGACGACCCCTCTCACCATCGCCGGCCTGGGCACGGCCGAGCGCGCCGCCAGCCACATCGCGCGCGTGTTGGGGCAGGTACGCGCCAGCCCTCCGGCACACCAGTGTCTCCTGGCATACATGCCGTGCCAGACCCCGCTCCATGCCCTTGACTGACCCCCGCGCTCGGCTGCCCAGTGCATGGACCTCCTGAGTCGACTGCGGAGCCCGGCACACAACCTCCCCCCGACCGATGGGGGCATGACTCTTCCAATGGCGCAGGCCTACTTTGCGGCACTGCGTCGCCAAATCCAAGTACGCCCCTCGCCCGGCACGGATCCCGCCACGACTTGGACCTCCATGCGACTGACCTTCCGGGCCGGGTTGCCGGTCCTCCTCCGGCAGCCCAAGCTGCAATTCCTCGGCGCCCTATTCAATGATCGCCTGGCCGGTGGAACGGCATCTGCCCCGGGGGATGGCGCCCCCTCGGCCGCGGAAACCCTCCGCCTGCCGGTGGTTCTTCAGCACCTGGCGATGTCCTTCCCGCCGGCTTCCCGGCCGCTGATGTCCACGGTGCGCCACTCGACTGGCCAATGTCCCCCGGGCCGCCCCCCGCCCCCCCCCCCCTTCCCCGTTGGTGCATTCCACCTTACCGGTGTTGCTTGCTGCTCTGACACTCACCCCCGGCTATGCTGCCCTCTTCCGGGCCTGCCGCCTCTCTGCCGCCGGAAAAGCTTTTCCACCACTTCCCGCGCGTTGTCCGCGGTGTGTCCTCCCTGACCCAGCTCATCCGGCCGATGCTGCAAGTGTTCCTGAGCTTCGCGCGGCTGGACCCACCGGCCGGAGCCCCGGGGCCCTGCGCCGCCGAGCTGGCCGGGGCCCTTCTGGCCCCGGGGCTCCTGCGCCCGGTGGCTGCCGGTGGCTCGGATCTCGCCTGCCCGGACATCGGTGACACCCGGCGCCTGTTCGCCGGTAGCCTTCTTGCGCAGCTTCTGCGCCGGGGAGCCGGCCACTGGCCCGAGTGGCTCGGCCTGGCCGATCGCCTCCTCCCTCTCATGACGCCAGATGCATGTGCTCTGCTGATTGAGGCGGCCTTCCTGGGGGACCCTACGGACGCCGGGAACTCGGGCGCCCCGCCGGGGCCGGCAACGGCCGCGACCGTGGCGCTTGCCCCCCCGGCGAGCTGGTGGTCTCTGGTCGCCGACATTTGCACCCGGTGCCTGGCTCTGCCCGATTGCAGTGGTACCTCCCTTTGCCCGCCATTCACCCGATCCACCCTGCCGGCTCTGACCTCACGCTCGCCGGCTGGCTCCGCCCTCCGTTCCCCCCCCTCCCCCCCCCCCTGTGGTCCCCGATCAAGCTGCCCTGCGGAGCGCGTGCCTGACCACGCTGGCACGCGGCGCGCGCGCCCAATTGCATGCCTGTTCCCTGGGCCAGGCCGAGGGCCCACTTGTCTTCCCCCTCGGGAGCGATGCTCTGCTGGGGTACCTCGAGCAGACGGCCAGCCAGGACGGCGCCCCGAATCTCGACCCCTCGCTGCCTACCCTGCTGGCACTGTTGGACTTGAGCCACCTGCCCGGGCCACCGAGCGAAGGCCCGGCCTACAGCCCGGCCCTGCCGCTCCTGTGCCGCTGGCTGCTCATCCAAAGCAGCCTGACCCCGGGGGCCGGGCCTTTCACCTGGCTCCTGCCGGTGGTCGACACCCCTGCCCTCCCCCCGATGGCGGATGCCCTAACCTCGGGCCATGTGTCCAGCTCGTGGCTGGCGCCGGCCCTTCTCACACGGGATGCCGGCCGAGCACGGGCCGACCGGCGCGCCGCCCGGGCCGCCCCCTCCCCGGGGTCCGATGCGGCACTTTCCCTGTCGTTCATTGGGCTTGGTGCGTGGGCCTCGCCGCGGCCCACTTTCGCACGCGCCCCACAGGCTATGCCGCCACCGGGGCCCGCCTCTCCGGAGGAGTCGCCGGTGCATGTGCGACAGCCGTTGCTGAGTGCACGCGAGCGGCTGCTCCGGCATTGGCGACATTTGGCCGAGGCGCCGGGATCGCCGGCAGTGCGTCTGCTGGCCGCCGGTCGCCGGCTGTCGGCCATCCCGCCCTCCAACCCGCTGGATGCCCGCCTCGGCGTCGGCCTGGGTCAGGCTTCCCTGGCGGCCGCTTGGCCGCGGGGCCGGGCCCGGCGCCGGGAGCCCCGGCCGCCGCCAGCCGCGCCGCTGGCCCAGTCGCCGGCCGCCGTCGAAGGTGACTGGCGCCGCCCCACCAGTCCGGCCGAGGTGGCCCAACTGCTGGTGGCCATGGCGGCCCGGAGCCCCGGGGTTGGCCTGGAACTGGGCCTGGATGTGCTGGGATTCGGGCTCGCCACATCCCCGGCCCTCGGGCACCCGGTATCCGGGCCCCCGCCGGGCAAGGTGCTAGCGGTGCGGTCCTCGGCCGCCGGGCCCGGCCGCCCGGCAGACGGGCCGCCATCCGCCGGCGACACGGCTCGCGCCCTCAGGGACCTGGAAGCCCGGGTCCCGGCGGCCGGCAGCGCTGCCTGCCCTGCATGGTCGGCCGAGCAGCTGGTGTATGGGCGCCTGCGCGCGGTCTTGACGGCGGTCGCCGCGGCCGGAGCCCAGGGCGGCCTCCATGTGCGCCTTCTCCTGCCGGACGCCCTGGCCGTGCTGCATGTGCTGCTTGCGTCGCGATTCGGCCTGCCTGCCGGTGCGCCCGCCCTTGCCATGGACCTCCTCTGCCCCCTCGCCTCTCTCTCTCTCTCTCTCTTCCTTTCCTAATCGTCTGCCCGCTCTGCCTCCTCTCTCGCTCCCGGACCCTGTCACCGCCTCCCCTCCCCCTCGCTCCCTCTTTCAGACCCGGAGGCGCTTCAGCTGCTGGCGGAGCGCCTGCCAGCCACGCAGGCTCTGGTACTGATGGTTCTCGAGCGCCAGGCCACCCTGCTCATGTGGGCGGGCGAGCCGTCCCTCACTGACGCCGACGAGCCGGATGGCAAGGGCCCGGCTCCGGCGCCCGGCTGGACTCGCAGCGATCTCCAGGCTGGCCTGCGGCTCTCGGATGCCACCTTGTCCATCGCCAGCCTGCGGGGCATGCTCCTGGCGCGGACGTGGTCGGCATTGGCACATGTCTATGCCCTTGGGCCCTCATCGGCCCTGTCGCGGGCCATCATTTCCGGTCGTGTGGCCGCGAAGCCGGGCCCAGCCGGGCCACCGGCACCGGCGCTCGACTCGCCGAGACTCCGGTCGACAGGCCGCCGCACAGGGCGGAACGGAGCCCCCGCCGCCGCCGCCGCCGCCGCCGCCGCCCCCCGGCAGCTGGCCGTGGCTCCGCTCGGCCTGCGCCTGAATGACGGCGCGGCGCTCCTCCCGGGCGAGGGGGGTGCCGGGAACCATGCGCTGCCCTTGCGCGGGTTCCTGGCCGAGGCAGCTTGGGACCTGCCGGCGGCGGAGGCCGTCTACGCGGCGGCGGCGGCGGCCTCCCACTCGCTGCCGGATCCGGCCGACGCCGAGCTCCGAAGCCTGTCGCTGGAGGCGCTGCGCTCGATGGAGGGCCCGGCGGCGTGCGATCCGGCCGCCGACCCGGCCGGCTGGTGGAAGCGCCGCGGCCTTCAAACCCAGGCACGCCTCGGCCACTGGGGCCACATCGCACAGACCGGCCACCGGCGTGGCGGTGCTGGCAGACCGCCCACGGCCCTGGCGCTCCTCGCTGCTAGCGACCAGGAACGGGTGCGTCGTGGGGCCCTTCAATCGCCACCGCCAGCCGGGCCGCTCTTGCCCGGCCCTCTCTCTCTTTCTCTCTCTCTCTCTCTCTCGCACACACACACTCTCACCCTCTGTCCCATCCTCTCGTCCTGGCGCGCTGTCCCGTGCCTTCGCTCGCCGGCGCCCGGCCTCCAGCTGGAGTACCACGCCGCGGCCGTGGCTCGGACTTGGACATATGCCGACATGCGCTACCATGCGGCGGCCGCCGATCCCCAGCTCCGGGCCGTGTGCCTGCTGCTGCTGGCCCCCCATGCGGCGGCCGCCGAAGCCCAGGCCCTGGCCCTGGCCGAGGAGCCCCTGCACGCGGAACCCGGCCCCCCCCCAACCGGCGACCTGACTACCATGGCCCGGGATCTGAGCCGATCGCTGGCGGTCGAGCGCACGGCGGCCGCCCTGCTCCAGGGCGATCCCACCCAGGCTCGGGCCCTGCTGCTGTCCAGCTACACCCGATCGGCCTCGCTGTTCCGCCTGCATCCCGGGCTGCGATTGGAGGCCGGCCGAGCGACCGACGAGTTCCGGCTCTTCCCCGGCGGGGCGGCCGAAGCGGTCACCTCCTCGCAAGCGGCCTTCGAGCTGGAGGAAACCCTTGAGACGCTGGCCCTGCTGCAAGCGCGCCCGGACCCGGGCGCCGCGCGTGCCCTGGTGCAGCACCTGCTTGTTCGCTGGACCGGGCGCCTGCCAGCAGCCGACGCATGTGTCGGGTACGTGCCGTCGGCCCTGCCGCTGGCCGGCCCGGGCCTCTGCTCCGCTTGATGGCCCAAATGCCCGCCGCCAAGCCCATGCTGACATCTCCTCGCGCCCTGCTGGGCCCCCCGCGTCTGTCCTCGGTCCTTGGCGGGCATCAGATCGGTCTGGCGCCCGCTTCTCCATGGCCGCACCCAGAACTTCAGCCTGCTCCTGGATGAGCTGGCCCGCACCGGCCTGGCCACCCGCTCTGGCATTGCAGCGTCGCTGCAGAAGTCCTTCATCGATCTGACCCGGTGCGTACCCCCTCGCGGGGGGAGGGGAGGAAAAAGAAAAGACAACCCCACTTCCCCCCTGCCCGCAGGCGACCCCTTTTGCTGACGCCCAGTTCATGGTGCTGCTTTTTTTTTCCTCTCCCGATGCCCCACCTCCCGGCCAGTGGATCGCTCCTGTCGGCCTCGCATGCGGCTCTGAGCCAGCAGAATTGGCACAGCGCCCTCAACACGCTCGGCCTCTATGGCAGGCTGCCCCCGGGCCCGGCCCCCCCGGAGCGCCTTCCCTCCGGGCTGGACCTCCGTCAGACCCAGGTTCGTCCTTTTTTTTTCCTTTCCCCTGGCCGCAAGGCCTCTTGCCTTCCGTCTGTCCCCCTCCCGGCCCCGACTCCTTGTGGCCTCCCTACACAAGCCCCCCCCCCCTGGGTCTGACCACCGGTTGGCATCCATCCCTCGCTCCCCCCCCCCCTCCCCATCTCCCGGCGCCGCCGATGCTGCAGTATCATGCCCTGCATGCGCTGGCCTCGGTGGCTAGCTTGCAATCGGCCCAGTTCCTCGCTCGCCTGGGAGGAGCCCCCTCCGGCCGGTATGGGGAGTTGCTGACGGCCGCTGGCCGGGCGGCCTCCCAAGCGCGTGTCTATGTGGCGACCTTGCCCGGCCAGCCGTCCAACGGGGATGCCCCGCTGCCCATCGCGGACCGGGCGACCCGTGCCCTGGTGGTGGCCGCCACCGCTCAGCTGGTGTCGCAACTGCAGGGCCTCCATCGGGCCGCCGGGCTGGCCGCACCACCGGCCGCCACGCAGCTTGAAGCTCTGCTCCACCGGACGCGGCTGCTGGATGCGCCGGGTGCCGGGTCAGCCAGTCGTCCGGCCACCGCGCAATCGCAATTCCTGATGATCATCTATGGCCTGTACGTTGGGCATGCTGGCAGCGCCGCCCGCACAGGAGGCCGCTCGCGGCCTTCTCTCCTCTTTGCTCCCCTTTGCCCGTCTCCCGCCCGCGCCTCCTGCCTCTCGCCTCCATCCACCACGGTGCATCTGCCCCCCCCCCCCCCCCCCCCCC